TTAATTAAACGAAACATTAGTTCTAAGAATTCATATTATGACCGCAATAATTAGTATATGTATCTCTACACATTATACTAATTTATCGGATTTTATTATATGGTCTAAACCTCAAACTCACCTTCCGATTCGTAAGAGACTCACCTAATCATTAAATTATTGATCAGGTAATTTGATACATTAAACTCATAATAAAATCAACACATAAATAAATAAATCATAGAAATTTTGAATAAAAAAATAAAGGATCACAAGTTGACTATATTGTTTTCTCTAATATAAAAATTAGTTATTTATACTGTAAAAATAAAAATACGTAAAAGTGAAATGACATCACCAAAAATTGACGTAATGTGAAATTGCTCATGTATGTCGTCTTCTCTCTCTCTCTCTCTCTCTCTCTCTCTCTCTTTTTTCTTTTCTTTTCTTTTCTTTCTCTCTCCTTTTTCTCTCCCTGTGTTTTTTTCTCTCTTTCCCGCCGGCTTTTCTTTTTCTCCTCTCTTTCTTTGTGGGTTTCTTTTCCGTTTGTTTGTTTCTGCTGGCACCGTCTTTCTTCCTCTCTTTTTTTCGCTGGCAACTTCTCTCTCTTTTTTGTCTCTTTTTTTCTTTTTCCTCTTCCCCAAGGAATTCCAATCCGCCTCAGTCGCCTTTTTTTTTCATATATATATATATATATAACCACGTTGAGGTCCAATTAAAATTTTCAATAGAAGTCCATTGAGGCTCATTTAATGTATTATTTCTTTCCAAGGAATTCATCTTTAGATTTTGCTATTTTTAGGATTTTTTTTTCTCTAATTCTTCACTAAACATAAAGTTTTACCTACAAAATACAATATAACATAAATTAGGTAAAATTTTATCCAAAAGACAATAAAATATCATGATTTAGGGTCTCGAATAAGTGTAGAAAACTACACTTATTACACCCCCAAACTTGAATATTTGTTTGTCCTCAAACAAAACTAAAATCTAATAAATGCACAAACACGCAATGTTAATTACCTAATTGGTGGTCAGTCAATCAAAATAAAACAACAAGATTTAGTTAGATAACCTGACTTTTTATCTCGAAATTGAAATCATAATATCAAATCTACGCACAACTTCAAAATCACAATACATAAATTAAATATACTTTTCCAATGTAAAATCGACATATGTGTGAAGAATTAAGTATATCATTATGAATTCATAAATTGTTTCAATTTCTGACCCTCAATGATAAAATACGTTCTTTCATTACTCGTAAGATTCACATATCCTCAAACTTATTCTTTTTACTTTTTTTCCAGTGTGTGAACTCAGGTTGGATTTTTTTTTTATCCCCACCTCTCTGGTTTGATAAATTTTCACCAATTGCAGTTCAACATTTCAATAAACAAGATTTCTCCATTAAATTTGATTGTTTCAATCTATATGACTTAAATAGGCTAACAATCTCTTATTAAAAGTCAAACTTTCTTAAACAAGTGTTTAGGACTTAACCAAGGCATTTGGTACGTCTTCTGTGTCATGCACCTGTTTTTTTTTTTTTTNCGTCTTCTGTGTCATGCACCTTTTTTTTTTTTTTTTTAATTTTTTTATAAATAATTTTTTTCTTTATTTGAATCATTCTCTCCATTAAGTTTTCTAAATAACTAATGTAAGAAGTTTTCGACAATTGATTCCATATAAATAAATAAATAACAGAAATCTTGAATAGAAAAATAAAGGATCAAAATTTGACTACATTGTTTTTCCTAATATAAAAATTAGTTATCTATACTGTAAAAATAAAAACACACAAAAGTGACATCATCAAATATTGATGAAATGTGAAATTGCTCGTGTCTACCGTCTTCTCTCCTTTTTCTTTTCTTTTCTTTTCTCTCTCTTTTTTTTCTCTCCCTGCGTTTTTTTTCTCTCTCTTTCCTACCAGCTTTTCTTTTTCTCCTCTCTTTCTCTCTGGGTTTCTTTTCCATTTGTTTCTTTCTGCTGGCACCATTTTTCTCTCTCCTTTTTTCTTTTCCCTTCTCTTGTTTTCGCCAGCAGCTTTTCCCTCTCTCTTTTGTCTCTTCCCCCAAGGAATTCCAATCCGCTTCAGTCGCCTTTTCTGCATGTATATTTATATATATTTCAACCACGTTGAGGTCCAATTAAAATTTTCAATACAAGTCCATTGATGCCCATTTAATGTACTATTTCTCTCCAAGGAATTCATTTTTGAATTTTGCCATTTTTCGTCATTTTTGTATTCTTTTCTCGAATTCTTCATTAAATATAAAGTTTTACCTACAAAATACAATATAACATAAATTAGGTAGAATTTTATTCAAAAAACAATAAAATATCATGATTTAAGGGCTCGAACAAGTGTAGAAACCACACTTATCAACGATTATAGAGAGAAGGAGAAAGTAAAAAGAAAAATGCTATGTGTACACCGGGAGGTGTACACACGGCTTTACACCCCCCTCACATGGAGGGGGGGCCCATGAATATTTTATTGTGTGTGGGCCCCCCTCCATGTGAGGGTGGTGTAAAATCGTGTGTACACCATTGTGTACACGTAGCATCTCCCAAGTAAATATGCTGATTATTCATTTATACGATCCATTTGAAATTCAAGTCTAGGAAATCTAGGCAATCATCCTGCTCCGGAAGAACAGTTGCTACACCTACACTGAACAACAGAGGAAGTCTAGGACTTCAAGCTTTGCCAGTACCTCCTCTTAAACAATAATCTTTTCTACAATGTAATGAATATTGTTCATCATGAACAAATGCCTTAAAGGGACATGATTGAGCTGCTCCGATTTCCCCTTCAAATTTAGTTGTAAAACCTGATAAGTGTATTTTCTATACTTGTTCGGGGTTTGAAACTCTAGAATTTTATTGTCTTTTTGGCAAAATACGACCTAAATTATGTTATATTGCATCTTGTAGGTAAAACTCAATGTTTGATGAAGAATTGGAGAAAAGAATGCAAAAATAGCGAAAAATGGTAAAATCCAAAGTTCGAGGATCAAATTACAAATACTAAAGAAGATACTTTGAATGGTAAAATTCAAAGTTCGAGAATCAAATTGCAAATACTCAAGAAGATACTTTGAAAATTGTTAGGAGACAATTGGATGGAATTAGAATTCAAAAAGGAATGAAACATGATCAAAGTATTATCAAAATCAATTTTCAATCGCCCAACATATATTCCAGATTTTTAGCCGAATATTGAGACTCCTTTTTGGCATAGTAAACGTTTGAATTGGAAAAACTCTATTTCAATCAAAGTTGTATCCCTTTGAGTTATCTTTCCAATACACTTTGAATCGCATCAATCGGATATCAGAAGAGAAAGTTATGAATAAAATACGGACTGCTATGTAGAGACAAAAAAATCCGAGCGCGAAGACAACTTTCCTTATTCGATTAGAACTCTTTTGGAAACCAATTTGGACTTGATTTTCAACCAATTTTCGACTCCTATAAAGAGAGAATAACAAAATACATATGGAGATCCTCCCTAGACCTAAAAATCTCTATATTATATATATTTTGGAGGCGAAGAATATGGCTAACAACGTGGAATCAAGACGAATTGCATAGGATATTGAAGATTTTTCATCCGAATTCAAGAGTCACATCAAGAACGTGGAAAATTCCTAATTCTTCATTATTTCTTCTTTCTGGATGATGATTTTCTAATTGTTCCTTTATAATTTAATTTTACATATGTTAGACTAATTTTTCATTGTATTGGATGAATGTTTGAACCCTATTTTCATTTATTTTAATTCAAGATATCAATATAGGATTTTTGTGTTATTATTTGATTGATTTTACATACTCATCACACTACTTATTGCTCGATCACCAATTAAGTAGTTAGTTGCTTGTTGTAGTGTAGGAATACTCACAATAAGTTTAGAACGCTGTAAAATCAACATGTGTAGTTAGAATTAGGAATAATCTCTTTCACACATGCAATCTTATTAATAATCTAAACCAAATGCGTGACTTTCATATGAATTCGGACTAGAAATAGGATCGTCTCATGTTAGTCATAGGTTGGTGTATCTTGGGAAAAAACATTTGACATATTAGTTTTATCGATTGTCAAAAATGCATGAATTGAATATAATGATTATTGAGAATTGAAATAAGTGAAAATAGGGGGATACATGAATCCAATACAAGCATTCATATAGATAAATATCATATTTATTTGCTTTTCTAGAGTAGAATTAGAATAAATAACAAATAAATCACAATTATATTATGTCATAATACTTTGAAATTAATAGTAGCTATTGATCTACAAATTAGACCTTATTCCTCGTGGGAACAATACTCTTAACTCACATATTTTATTACTTGTACAATGATCCCGTACGCTTGCGGGTTTCACGCGAACAAAACCACAATGATCAAAATCAAATGAAGAGCCAAATGACTTCTGCCTGTAAGATCCCCCAATTCGCCTTCTGGAATCAGTTTATCCCCAAATTTCAATGGTGGCATTGATATGATCAAGTCTGTGAGGAGCTTCTTATTACATACAATGAGATAGATACAATTCATCACGTGTCTTGTCAATGGATGAATGGCACTGGTATCATCTCGTATTGTCGAAAGCTGACGAAAAACAGTTTTCTCGAAGTCCAATAACATCCTTCTTAGACAATTCTCGAGTTGAGACACTGTCACCTTCACGCCTTTTCGAATAGCCTCTGCTGGGTCAGAGTCGAACAGGGCATCAATGTCTTGTAAAAGAGACAACAGTGTATCATATAGGCATAAAATTGTTCCCAACCTCTCTGAGGAATGATTACTAGAACTCACTGTTTCTGCAAAAATAAGTAAATTATTTGCAGAATCTCCAACTATTTCCAAAAAACATTCGTCACTAGCCCCATTTCCAAAACCAGAGAATATTTTATCACTAATTTGTTTCTCCAAATCAAAGAAAATACGAAGACACACCTTAGCCACTCGAATCCACAGTTCAATTTTCACCTTCAACTCTTCCCATAGAAATCTCTTTTTCTTGAGGCACTTATAAACCTCTTTGCATTCCAACCCATATACAATTCTTCCAAGCGAAGCTGTTTCATCATAGTGCGGAAAAAGGGTTTCCTCACACTCTTGTAAATTTTGATGCAATCACCAAGGTGTCCCCCGGAATTTAATCTTTCGGCGACATGCCTGAGATATAAAATCACCTCGTCACTCGGTGAATTGTATACTGATAAATAATCCTCGTATCCAATACTGGTTAATGAACTCCTATTAGAGGTAATTAAATCAACAGTGCCAATCGGATCAGATTGTGCTGTGAGAACTGTCAGAAACTCGTGCTTGAGCCGAACCATGGCCATGGAGTTCAGGTCACCAGATTCTGTTCCGTCAGCGGGGGACAGCTGGATTCTGTCGACAGCTTCTAGGAATTTTATTATTTCACTTTGATGATCACGGTTGAAAATTAGCTCTTCAACAGGGATATGATGTGAATGATAGATTGTATCAGCAGCTGATTGGTATGATATTGTTGTCATCGGACCTATGGACTTTCTGTCCAACTGCAACTGATGGTTGATAAGTGTTTTTACGCACTTATTTATGGCACAAAATATGAGCAATTGTCAAGAAATTTTACTAAATATGGCTTAATTTAATATAAATTATATTTTGTAGGATAACATTGATGAACATGGTGAAATTTAGGAAAAAGAAGAAAAAAAAGACTAAAATGGAAGGAAGTTAAAGTACAGCACCAAAGTGCAAGTGCAAATAGTCGAAATATGATCCGGGAGAAGAAACGAAGATGTGAAGAAGTCAAGAACCAATATAGTAAAGGAATGAAGTGTTGTAAGAAGAAAAAGTCAAAAAATAGATCAAGAAACAAGAAAACGAAATTTGGAGACTAATATACATTTGAGTAAAAGTTGAAAAACTAAAATTGAAGTACTTTGATGTGGAGGGTCAATATGGAAGATAGGAATAAGAAAATGGCTGAAATGAAAATTCGCAATTTTTTTATAACTGGGCAGCCGCCCAGTTATATTGGTGAGGCGGCCTCCCGATCCTAAACCCTAATAACATGAGCCAATTTTTATCCGCCCATGTCAAATCGGGGAAAATTTTCTGGTTTTCTAATTTGAATACAACTCTTATGGAAGCAAATCTTGGACCGCCTTTTAAAACCATAGGGTCGTCCAGAAGTAGCCACCACACATTACAACATATTTTAAAGAGCTTTTGGAGCAAACGTGCAAAGAACATGAAGATCGAAGCAAAGAATATGAGGATAAATTCAAGAATTATATTGGATGATGTCCATTCTTCAATATTCCTTTTGTTTTCTCTTTCATAACATGTTAGGCTAGTTTTCTATTTACTAGGAAAACGATGAACCATGTGATATGAGTTTTAATTTTGAGTTTTATATATTTGACGTTGAAACGCGAATTTTGGATATTGAAAATTTTATATGATTTTATTTTCTCCACAATTATTGTGCATGTTAGTTGTGTGAATTATGTGGCCTATTTTATGCATTCGAAAGAATGAAAATAAATTAGACATATATAAATTGTCATAGGGTCCGATATGTAATATAAATATACCGCTATGCCTTATGTGAATATTTAAGTGTTCATAAAAATTCATGCACTTTTATATTTTCGCATGTATCATAGAAATATAGTTGTGTCATATATAAAAGTATATCTAATATTATTCGAGAGAAATTGTTAAATAAAATTAGGGTTAAAACTGATTATTGCATGAGAATTTAGGGTCCTAGTTTGTTTGTCATTCATTAAAACATATTAACTTGCTTTCAACATAATTTACATTTAATTTAGTTAATTCATTCATAATTGCATAAGTAAGTTAAGTTAGATATAATTCAGTTATAAACACATCATATTATCCTTGTTTCGGTTAACGTCGCGAATATTTAAAATTGAATTAATCAATCTTTGTGAGACGATACTAGGACTCAAAATTCACTTTATTACTTGTTAAATTGTACACTTGCAGTGATTTTAATTCGAAATATATTTTTGTGAATAATGGTAGAAGAATTTCTAGTTAAAAATTCCAAGAACTTGTAAATTTGTGTGGTAATGAAGAATGGTTGTATCTTGTGTTCATGAGAAAATATGGTGGCAAAATTTTAGGTTACCCTCAAAAAGATGGAAGACTTGAATTGTCGCGTCTGATAGGAAACTTCATATGTAAATATTGGAAAATATCAGTCAACAATGAACAAAATTAGAGAAACTTCAGGATACATTTCCTTTCCCCCCCACAAATGGCAATTGATTTACAAGTTTTAGGTTGAGTTAGTTTAATCAATGGCCACTGAACTTTGTCATGGTTCTTATTTGTTCATCGATCTATAAAAAGTTACCCGTTACTCACTAAACTCTACTATATGTTATTACTTATTTACTGAAAATTTAAAAGTTCACTCATTGTTCACCTAAATTTGAACGAAATTACTCGTTGCTCACTAAATTTTGCTACAGACATTGATGGAAATGATATGGGTGATTAGTGTTTAACTTTATTTAAATTTAGGTAAGCAATGAGTCACCTTTTAAATTTCGATGAACAAGTAGTAACATTTAACAAAGTTCAGTGAGTAAATGGTAACCTTTTGAATTTCGATGAGCAAGTAGTAACCTACAAAAAAGTTCAATGACCATTGACCAAATGAACTTGTTTTAGGTTTGGGAAGATACAGCAATGTGTTTCCAATTAAAGTATATTGGTAATAATCCTAAAAAGATATACTTCTGTGTCCTAATCTAGTACATGCACTGCCCTATATTAAAGATTAAGCGAAAAACAAGTTAACTAACCAAGTTGATGAGGTTACACAAAATCAGTTACTAAAGCTTGACGGGCCAACGGTTTAGTGAGGAAGTCGCAGCTTCGTATGTGACGTGAAAATGGGATACGAAAATGACCATCACATTGTTCAAACAGATTAAACTCGCATCAAGCAAATGCTGGTTGTCTGGCTGGCGTTTAAGTCGCTATTTCTATCCATTTTCTTATAAATCAGTTGGCAAATTTGAAAATGTGACTTCATTTAGCTAACAAGGCTAGCAAATTTGATTATGTGAGTTCCATCATGTAAATGCCAACTCTTAAGCACTAATGTCATTATATGAAAACAAATGCTTTGAGATCAAAGCCTCAAGATCCTCAACTGAATGCTTTACATTTATTTTCTGATAGTGTTTCGTTTGTATTTCGCTGTTCTGCTCAATCTCAATATATGTCCTGAACTTCTGTAGGAATTCCTTGTATGCTGGAATCAACTTGTCAACCATGGACACACGAAGCTTGTCCCGGAGCTCCAAATCAAGGACTATCCAGTTTGAGTGAAATTTCTGGATCTCTTCAAACAGGAAATGAAAGTCCTTCAATTGTTTCCTGAGTGCACGTTTTGACAACTGAGAACAAAAGCACCAACTAACATAAAGTCCGTCCTCTCGAAAACAAGACAAGAACTTGTTACAAGTCGAGTCCTGATAGCTAGTCATGGCATGCCTAACGTTCCCATTCAGTTTCGCCATATAATCATCGCCAATCATCTCGCGCAACTCTTGAGATCCTTGGATCTTTTGTACAATGTAAATCACATTGTTCATCAAGAACAAATGCCTCAAAGGAACATGCTCATATTGCTCCGATTTGCCCTTCAAATTTAGTTGTAAAACCACAATGATCAAAATCAAATGAAGTTCAAAATGACTTCTGCCATTAAGATCCCCCAATTCCCCTTCCGAAATCATTTGATCACCAAATTTCAATGGTGGCATTGAATTGATCACGTTTGTGAGAAGCTTTTTGTGGCTTAAAGTGAGATGGATATAATCAATCACCTTTTCTGTCAATGGATGAATTGCTCCTCTATCCTCCTGTATGGGAGAAAGCTCGTGAAAAACAGCTTTCTCAAAATCAGATAACATCCTTCTAACATCATCCTCGAGCTGAGAAACTATTCCCTTCGCTTTAGTTCGAATAGCCTCTGCTGATTTGGAGTAGAAAAGGGCATCGATTTTTGGTAAAAGAGGCACCAAAGTATCATATAGGCCTAAAATTGTTCCAATCCTCTCTGAGGGTTGATTACTGAGACTCACTGTTTCTGCAAAAATAAGTAGATTATTTGCAGAATCTTTAACTATTTCCACAAAACATTCTTCGCTAGAGTCAACTCCGAAACCTTCGAATATTTGCCCACAAATTTGTTTCTCCGTATCAAATAGTTTATAAAAACACACCTTAGCCACTTGAATCCACAGTTCAATTTTCTCCTTCAAATAATCCCACGGAAACCTCTTTACGTCCCGACCTATACTCAATTCCATTACACGAAGCCGTTTCAGCCCAGTATGAAGTAAGTTTTTCCTCCCACTCTTGTAAACCCTGACGCAATCTCCGAGTTTGCCACCAGAATTCATCCTCTTGGCGACATTTCTGAGATATTCAATCACCTCCTTATTCGGCAAATCGTATACCGTAAAATCCTCATACCGTATAACGTTTGCAGTACTATCGGTTATTGAACTCCACTCTGATGTGGAATTAAGGCCAATTGAAGTATCAATTTGTCTTACCAGTACTGTCTGAAACTCGCGCTCTAGCCGAGCCATGGCCTTGGATTTCAGGTCATCGGATTCTCTTCTATTCGCCGGAAATACGTGGATTTTGTCGACTGCTTCCAGGTATCGTCTTATTTCGCTGGAACCGTGATCATAGATTAGCTTCTCTTCAGTTTGGTTTGAATCCCAATGGGAGATTGTTTCCACAGCAGATTGGTGTGAATCGTGTGATATTGATGATCCCATTAGAACGATGACCAAACTATTACAGCATCAAATCAATTTGGCAGAAAAATTTCTGGTTCGAATTTAAGAAACTTATCTATTTTGTTGTCTACTTGAATAAATTGATCCAGCATGCAAGGGTTAAAGAGAGAATAAATTTGTGGAAAAATGCAATGCGACAATTTCTTTCTATTATTTAACCATTTTTCAAGAATTTAAAACCAGATTTTTCTGAACGCGTTGCGGTAGCTGAAGCCGAGACTGGAGAGAGAAAGTGAGTTTGGGAAGAAAGAAGGAAACTGCATGTTTTCGTGCACAGACAGAACAACTACTCCGGACCCATTCCATTCAATTCGATTCAACAAAAGTGTGCTGTTATGATCATTTTTAATGAACAAGTCTAGAGTTTGTCAAGTTATTTCGTATTGATATATATAATAAATACTAGGTGCAAGCAACGTGCAATCGTTTGCCTAGTTTATATTTAATAGTTTTGTTTAATAATTAATTTGTTATTAATAAAGATGTAATTTTTTTGTTTAATTAAATAATTAATGATATAATGTTTATGTAATTGTTAAATAATTAGATGTGTGATTTTGATGTTGTGATGTAAGTTGGTGAGATCGAAGAAAATAAGCAAAAGTTGACAAATTTGGAGAAATGGCTAAATTGTAAGGGATCCAAAGTTCGAGAACTTTCATATTTATGTAATTGATAAATAATTAGATGTGTGATTTTGATGTTGTGATGTAAGTTGGTGAGATCGAAGAAAATAAGCAAAAGTTGACAAATTTGGAGAAATGGCTAAATTGTAAGGGATCCAAAATTCGAGGACTAAAATGTAAATACTTAAAAGTTGTGCCGAACCTCACGATGAAGATTTGAGAGTTCTCGGAGTCAATTGGATAAAGGAAGACGTCAATGGAATCAAATTTAGTCAAAAGATGATATCAAATCAATTTTCAACCAAAAAGTTATGTTCCGATGTTTTTGTCTCATATTGAGACCTATTTTTGGCATAGAAAGTGATCGAATTGGAGAATGATGTATGAATCAAAGTTGTAGCCAACTGAGTTAGCTTTCCAATGCATTTTGAATCGCCTCAATCGGATATCGGAATACAAAGTTATGATAAAAATACTGAAAGAAGGTGCAGCTGACTGTTGAATCGCATCAATCGGATATCGGAATACAAAGTTATGATAAAAATACTGAAAGAAGGTGCAGCTGCCTGTTTAAAACAAGAAATTCCGTTACATAGTCCGTTAAAACAACAAATTTCGTTAGTTTTTCCGTTAAAAACAAGAAATTCCGTTACATGACCACTTTTAATATATAGAAGATTAGAGTTGACACAATTATTAGAGTTATTATCAATATTTTGTCATGATTAGCAGTGGCAATGGGCCAAGTTGGCTAGCGGTTGGAAGTGCTCGGCTCATATCCAGGGCATAGACTCGGAAGTCAATAAAATATTAATAATACTAATAATTATTTTTTTAATAAATCGTGCAATAATGATAATATAAATAATTATTTTTATAACTTTGATCAACAAAATAAATTATTTATTTAAGCTTTATCCATTTATTTAGGGAGAATTGCTATCAATGTCCCAAACATTTTATTTTATTACAAACTTTATCCAAGCTTTTTATTTATGCCACCCACAGTTCCAAACATTCCATTTTGTTACAATAGAAGAACAGATGGATGAATTTCATCCAATTAATTGTTAGTTGATCAGAAAAATTTATATATAATAAGGCAAAACTGTAACTTTACAATATTAACATGAAATAATTTTAAAAACCAAATAAAAAAAAGAAAAGAAAGAAAAGGAAACTATTGTTTACCACCCCCACCCCATCCCATTCTGAAACAAACCAAATCAACCCCACCATAACGTCACCTGCCACAACTACCACTGCTCATTGTCAACTTTATTCCCATTACCTTAGAAATATTTAAATCTCATTACTTCACCTCATGTTATTCTTCATCTCCTTTTAAAAAGAGTATTGCTTCTTGTACATGGTGCTTCACAGTCCTCTTCACGGCCTTTTGAAAAATCCGACGTGGCATTGGCTGTTGGCTGGGTAATTGTCAATTGGTCAAAAAATCCGGCCCCACTGCATAGACTAAAAAACCCGACCCTGACCAAACAATTTCAGCTCACCCTCTTCCTAACCTAATCCCCAACTTTCCCCCAAATCTCCCACTCCAGCCCGTTCGATCCATCCACTCTGATTCCCATCTTCAACATTCGAGCTACTGAACCCAGTCACCGGTGGATCACCCTCTTCCTAACCTAATCCCCAATTCGAGTCTAACGTAAATCCCCAACTTTCCCACTCCAGCCCGTTCAATCCAGCCACTACGATTCCCAGCTTCAACATGCGAGCTACTGAACCCAGTCACCAGTGGATCTCCGGCCTTCCCAGGTGAAGCAAAAGTTGAGACGAACGGGACGAGATTTCAAGCAGCCAAATCCAGAAGGTTTATAAATTATTACCCTTCCCCACTCCAGCCCAACAATCCAGCCACTCCGATCCCCACTCCAGCTTCAACATTCAAGCTACTGAACCCATTCGCC